TTCCGTATCGTTTTCTCTTTTCTACAAGAGACCCACAGGAACATCAACGTACCCAGACAGAGTGCAAGGTCGCTATCTGAACCAAGAATAAGAAACGAGGAATCAACGAAGAAAAGGTCTTGGGCTAGCCAAAGCCGTGGTCACAAAGCTCATCCCCTGCTGGGGAAGAGCAGCAGACCCTCGCGAAGCCCGCTTAGCTGTCTCACAGTCAAGCAGAAGCACAGTGAGCCGGGCGGCTACTCCACCAAAGATCAGAAGCTGCCCATTTAAAAGAGGGCAGCGGGGACACTAACAAAAGCAAAAGCCCAGCTTTCCCACCTCTGAAAGCAGAGACTGACTATTAAAAGTGGATTCAAGAATTCAAAATGCAGAGGGGGCACACAACCTGCATATCTCAGGGGCTTCAAAGCCTTGCTCAATTACGGTCAGTAATGGATACTAGTAGCACCACCTCAAGTCACTAAAGAAAGGTGAAACCATACTGTTTAAAAAGCAAACAAAGCACGTAATATATTGTGAACTTTTTTTCCACGATAAGTCTAGCCAAAACAAGAATTTGCACACTTAACACCTTATTCCCTAAAAACAGAAGACAGATGAAGCGCTGCCACATACATAGGGTGGGAAGCATCTGAGAGCATGGTATGATGGGCTGGCTCTGTACGAGGTCTGTTACACACGCATAATTCCGGATTCCTTGACCTTCTTTTATCATGTCCCCAAAGTAACACCCTCCCTTCCGTAGGGCTGTTACCCTGTCAGAAAGTACAAACCTCCAAACACACACCAAAGCTCTCTTTTCTGCATCAGGTTCCACTTCTTATCTCCTCCTGGGATGACAGATGCACCCCAAGACTCATCAAGCCTGGAGCTAGGCCTTTCTTTCCTCTTTTGCTTTTGAATAGGCAAGACAAAATCACAAGTGAGATCTCTGCATTATATTCTCTCTGGGATGGCTCTAGCAGTCGTGGTGACATTTTAAGTTGGTCAGAAGCTGGTTTCAGTTGCAAAGTAAGGTCTCCTGGACACTAGATCTGTGTTAGTGAATTCATTAGTCCTTGGGGGTCACAGAGGCAGCTCAAGTACGGAAAAGAGGGAGAGATATACAGGTCTGGAATAAGGAGCTGCTGGAGAAGCACTTCGGGGAGGGACAGCTCTCCTTTCCCATCCCACCACGTAAGGGATGAGAAGACAGACAATCAGGGTCAGTGATAATGGCGTGGCCATTACCAAGAGCTCCAGTTCTTTTTTTTTTTTAAGATTTTATTTATTTATTTGAGAGAGAGAGAATGAGAGACAGAGAGCATGAGAGGGAAAAGGGTCAGAGGGAGAAGCAGACCCCCTGCTGAGCAGGGAGCCCGATGCAGGACTCGATCCCGGGACTCCAGGATCATGACCTGAGCCGAAGGCAGTCACCCAACCAACTGAGCCACCCAGGCGCCCTCCAGTTCTTTTCTTAAGGCAAAAATATTGACTACCAATCCAACTGCTCAATTAGTCTAGCCAGAAAGGCTCCAGGAGCCAAGTCTGTGAAGCTAAGCCTGACCAGGGCACCATGGGCTGCCCCCAGACTGCTAGAATACCATACAGTAACAGAATCAAATCGCAAGGCTGGTCCAGTATGGTACACCCTTTACAGGTACCCATCTTTTTTTTTTTTTTAAAGGAATATTTAGCTATTTTATTCTATTATATAATACATTTTATTAAATGTTTCTATTTTCAAGATTGTTCTCAGTTCAGGGCGCCTGGGTGGCTCAGTTGTTAAGCGTCTGCCTTCAGCTCAGGTCATGATCCTGGGGTCCTGGGATTGAGCCCCACATCATCGGGCTCCCTGCTCCTTGGGAAGCCTGCTTCTCCCTCTCCCACTCCCCCTGCTTGTGTTCCCGCTCTCGCTGTGTCTCTGTCAAATAAATAAATAAAATCTTAAAAAAAAAAAAGATTGTTTTCAGTTGAATCGAGGCTCAGTTACAACAGCACATAGTTTTAACTCTTAAAGATGTTATAGTAAATGGAAAGCTCTGGATCATATCTGCCTTTGTATGAAATTTAATCAGATTATTAATATTGGTAAGCCTTCAACTCTACCATTTAAGCAATATACAGATACCCAGCTCACCAGCAACTTTCAACAGTAATCTGCAACACGTTTTCTTGTCCTTTTTTCCTCTTAATGAAAAGAGGAACTAACCAATTTATGTACTAGAGTATCTCCCCCTCCTTCATACTGTATTCCATTCACTCATTCAACCACCAAATATTTCCTGCACACCTACTGTGCACTCTGCACTTTAGGTGCAGAGAAAAAAGTATGCCAATTATCATCACTGTTACTATATACTGTAGTGCCTTGTTGTTAAGGCCACTTCCTACCTCAATCTACAAAACCACATGGCACTTGGTCCCAGGGTGACCTGACATCAGCTTCAGAAGACTGTCTCCTTTTTATTGTTTGCAACTGTGGCCACAGGATAGAGGGAGCAGCCTCTGCCTCTATGATGAGACTGCACCAATCAAGACAACCACTGTGGTTTCTATTTTAAAAAGTTATCAATTCAAGACCTGAAGTATCTGGCTTCAGGGCTCACACCACAGAAATGATGGTCACACAAAGTGTAGGAAGCTGAAGTCTGCCCTGCAAGTAAACAAACAAACAAATTTCATTTAGAAATTCACAGTTCAAAGACAGAAAGCAGAAGCTTTCAGGCTACGTGAGAGAGCTGGAATCTACAAATGTTTGAAATGAAGAGAACCGACTGAGTCAAAGAGTTATCAACTCAACATAAAATAATTCTAGGATGTAAAGGATTAGACGGTATAAACAGTGATTTGTTCGTTTGTTCCCTGATTCAAAGTACCCAGAAAGAAGCGCAGGGCATGTGTTTTCAAGTTTTCACTCTTTAGGGCGCCTGGGTGGCTCAGTCTTGTTAAGCGACTGCCTTCGGCTCAGGTCATGATCCCAGGGTCCTGGGATCGAGTTCCACATCGGGCTCCCTGCTCAGCGGGAAGCCTGCTTCTCCCGCTCCCACTCCCCCTGCTTGTGTTCCTGCTCTCGCTATGTCTCTCTCTGTCAAATAAATAAATAAAATCTTTAAAAAAAAAAAAAAGAAGAAGCTTTAAAAAAAAGTTTTCACTCTTTAGCCAAATCGTAGCTAGTTGCCTACTGGCTTCAGAGAAACAGGAGAACAAATCAATGCCGCATTTTCACCGGCCACACTAAAGAGAAGCTGTGAGCTCCAAGATTTGCTCATCTTTGCCACATCCATTCTATTGCTGCACTTTCTCTTTTTTTTTTTAAAGATTTTATTTATTTATTTCAGAGACAGAGAGAATGAGAGATAGAAAGCACGAGAGGGAAGAGGGTCAGAGGGAGAAGCAGACTCCCTGCTGAGCAGGAAGCCCGATGTGGGACTCGATCCCGGGACTCCAGGATCATGACCTGAGCCGAAGGCAGTCGCTTAACCAACTGAGCCACCCAGGCGCCCTATTGCTGCACTTTCTTGTGAGTGAGGCTGAGAAACCCAATTACTTGCTTGTGCCTTTTTATTCACCTTCGGTAAGCACTTTCAAATGGGGAAGCCCTTCCTGTTGGTTGATTCCACTGCAAAGTCCAACGACTTCATAAACTTCAGGAAAGTTATTAACTTCACACAGAACGTTAATTTTAAATCTACCCGAGGTTGGCTCTGAGTCCAGGGGAATGATTTAGCATCTTTAACACCTGTACCTCAGTTTCCCAAAGCCATGTCTTGATGATCAATAATGCATGTGGAAGTGCTCTAAGGCTTTACTCAAAGGTCCTGGATAAACTCAAGGAATAGGCAACTGAGGTCTCTACCTCAATTTTTAAAATCAACCCCAAAGAAATTTATGTATTAATTTATAACACCAGGAGGACAGGAATAGTTAGCAAACATCAATCTTAATCACCAGAATACAAATGTATAAAGTCCTACAATTTAAAAGCTAGTAGAAAATCCTACATTCCTATTCCTTCTTTTCAAGGTGAGATGGGAAACTGGCTGGGTGGGGAAGACACTGATACCTGGCTCTCGCTAACCACAAGTCACAGTATCAAGCATCTCTAATTTTCCCAAATTATAAACTCCTCACCCATCCAAGCGATGATATAGCCATTTAAAGGACTAAAATTCCATAACCACCAATCATGCCCTGTCCTCTCCACTTTCCCTCCAACATCCTTCCACCCCTTGTCTTCCTACCAGAAGACTTGCGGACAACAGAAGCCTGATGAGAAGGAAACTCTAATCAGATTCCCACAATCAAGGGCGCAGCTTGACAACTACTCACATTCATCATTAATGGCAACGTTTCGGCTCGCTTTTAATCGCGGGGCCATTACACCCGGAAATGAAATCTCAAGCGCAACCCACTTTGGACTACCGTATCATTTCCTTAAGTTGTGCCCGACTGCGAGTGCCGGGTGCACGACCCCAGAGACCGCGGACCTCGGGCACAGTTACTCCGCCTCCCGCCTCGGGCCTGGTGGTCACTTGCGCTTCTCGGCCACGAGGTGGGCCCGCCGGCGCGCGATCCTCCCCGGGCCGCCACAACCGGCGCTCGGCGGGACGCGAGGGCGGCACCGGGGCCGGTCGCCTCCGGAGACGGCGCCTGGGCGCGAGGGGCGCTCACTAGAAGGACCCCGAGCGGCCCCAGGTAAGGCCGCGCCTCAGGCGGGCCGAGGAGGCGCCCAGACACGCCCGCCCGCAGGAGCCCGCCTGGGGGCCGGCGAGGCGGGGCGCGCGGCCCGGGCCGGTCTCCGAGGCAACAGCCGGGCCCGATCCGGGACCCGTCCGCGGTCGCTTGGGGACCGCTCGGGGCACCGGCGCGCCCGGCCCCTCGGGAGGCGCCCCGCCCCCAAGCGGCCCCCGCCCGGCGCGCGCCACGCACCGCACCCTGCCCGCGGGCCGGCCCGCACTTTCCCGCCCGCCGCGCCGGGGGCGGGGGTCGCGCGCCCTCCCCGCCCCCACGCCGCTCACCTGCCGGCCCTAGGCTCGCTCCATGGCCCCCCGCGCGGTGCGGTGCGGTGCGGCGCGGCCGCCCCCGCCGCCTCCGGGAAGGGGCAGCCCCACGCCGCGCTCACCGCCCCCAGTCGCCGCCGCCGCCACTGCGGCTCCCGCCCACCCCCGGCCCGGCCATTCCCTGGCCACTCTCCCCGCGCAGAGCCGGCGGTCCCACACCCACCCCCCCCCCCCCCGGCTGTTGGTACCGTCCTAGCGTAACGCCTTCCCTGCGACCAATCCCAGGGCTCATTCTGCGAGGCCCCGCCCCCGCCCTCCGGTGGGCGGGCCTACCAGGCTCGCTTCGGACGGCCCCGCTTAACCCTTCCCGTCCCGGGCCAGCCCCGTTTAACTCCCTCGGCGCCGGCTCCCGTCTCTCCTCCTCCTCCTCCCTGCCGCCCGTACCGCTTGCAGAAACTGACCTCGAACTTCTCTCTTGCTTTCGCTTTTCCTTTCCTGATTTTCGGAAGCAGGTAGGAGACCAGGCAGCGGGACTGGAGAGTTGAGGTCCTGTAGGTCCAATTCTACTTGTGAGAAGCGATTTCCCTACTCCTTCTGCCCATTTAATTTGCCTCGACTGATGCTTCTGCCTATCAAAGTGTATCCCCCTTGCCCAAAAGAGGCCAGCCTTCCTACAGCGCGCACAAGTCGCTCTTCCTTAGGACCAGAGCAAACTCCCTGCTACAGTTAATAGCATTTCGCAAAACTGTGATCAGTTTACTGTACTCTTAGTTGTTTAATGTCTGTCTCTTGCAGTGGACTGTAAGCCCTACGAGGGCAGGGCAGCGTGTCCCTGTCTCCAATGCCCGACACACAGCAGACTCCCTGTAAATGGTTTGCATGAAAATTCTCCTTCCCTTTAAGTTGCTTCCTTTCCACTGACTGCATACAGATCATCTGCTGTATAATTATTCATTTATTCACCATATGCTAAGCTTGGACTTAGTGTATGTCTGAAATATAATGCCCGTTGCTTTGTGGGATAAGATGTGTGTGTGGAGGGGAAGACCGAGCTAACACTTTGCTCAGGCTACATAGTTCATTTAAGCAGTAGGGTGTAGTGGGTAGAACGCCTCCTTATGGGTAGTGTGATATTGGGTGTGCCACTGAACCGCTCAGAGTATAGGTTTCCTTATCTGCAAAATAGGAGTTAATCATAGTCCCTATTTCAGCAAGGTTGTTGTGAGGTCCAAATTAGGAAATGTGTGGGGAAAGTACTTTTGCCTTATTGTATAATATATGAGTTATTGTGCATGTGTGTATTTACTGAGCACTTACCATCAGAAGAGCCTAGAGAAATAACTGGGCTTGACACCAGTCCCAGACAGTCTAGTTAGGGAGGCTGCCCCTCTGCAGAAAACAGTCCCTGCAAGGAGTCCACTGTCAAATACAGGAGGAGCTGTATCAGCTTTTTACTGGATGTAGTGGAAAGGGCTTGGGGGTCATTTTCTGACCATGGCATACATAATTGTTAAGGAAATGAGCTGGATAGTTGAGAGTCTACCTAATTTCTCTGCACAGGAACATTGGTCTGATTGCCATCATATAATCTCCCTGAAGCTTGTTCACGACATCAGAAGATCATAAACCAACAGCGCAAAGCCACAGTTCCTCTAAGATCCTTTACCTGAAGGAGGACTCTCCTCCTTTCTTGCCTGGAACTCTATCAAGGGTAGTGAGGGTTGACTGTCAAACCGTCACTGCTCAGGGGAAGGCCGGCACAGCCTACAGCTTCAGCTTCCTGGCGATCCCTTCTGGCACTAAGGACATTGAGAGAGGTGGGTTCATGGTTTCTCTGGGCAAGCCATTCCAGGGCTTAATTTCACATCCGTCAGATCCTTCCATCCACCCCATAGGCTGCAGGAGAGACACTCTCTCCTCTTCTCTTTATAGATGGTGAGCCCAGGATTCAGGACCTTCCTGCTTTCAGACCGCAAAATTTCAGCCCCCCACTTTTCTCTTCACTGGCCACATGATCCAGGCTCTCTGCGAATGTGTATGCAGCACCAACACAGTCCTGACCCTCCACCGTGTTCTTTTCTGCCCTCTCTTCCGGGAATGCACCTTGTTTCCCAACCAATCGACCGTCAATATATTCTAGGTACTGTGGGAGATGCAGTCCTTTAAGAAGGGGATGCTGTCCTCAAAGAGTTTACATGACTGGACCCCAGGAAGCAGCTACAAGGGATTCGGGGGACTTAACTTATGCAGCACAGACGCTGTGATCGCTGAAAGAAGCGGGGTTCAGGAAGATAGTGTGGGCTGGTAGTGCCAGCGAGGGAGGATTAAGGTGAGCAAAATATGGGTGGGAGAAGAGAGGGAAAATATGAACCGAAGTTAGGTCATGCTATGTGAACTTAAAGGCAGACATCTCAGCCAATGATAGAGAATGGGAGAATTTTCTTCCTTCCTTCCATCCTTCATTGAATGTCTACTAAGTGCCAGACACTGAGCTGGACTCAGCCCATGGAAAGGCCAAAGAAAGCCTGGTTCTCATCCTTGAGAAGCTGACAGCCTAGTCTTGGGAAATGAACAGGTCAGGCAGAACCCCCATTAGGAAGGTCTGAGACTTTGCAGAAGCTTCTGGGATGCTTCTTTCAGAACTTGTGATGTAGTTCTAGCTCTGTCCTCAGTAGAGGAATCTTGGTTAGTAGCCCAGTGCAGAATCCTCCAGTGGCTTGTCCACGGCCTGCAGAATTCAATAGCAAGTTCTCTGCTTGGCATTTCCAGGCCCAGTGCACCTTTCCAGGCCCACGTTCTGCTAATCTCTTATCTTCCACCCTAAAGGACTCACTTGCTCTGAGAACATCTGCCTTTCTGCACCCATGGTTGTAATCATCCAGATTCTTCCTCTGGGGCTCCCACCTCACCCCAACCCCATCTCCTCCTGTGAAAATGTTATATATCTTTCAAATACCATTTGTTCATGAAGCCTTTCCTGGCCTTTGCAACTGTCCGTGTACCCCTGGGCTTCTAAGACTGTCCTTTGTGCCTCTTTTGCAGTATGGTTTGTATTGTTAGGTTTGGGGATATCTCTGAACCCTTCCCCTGGATTGTAAACCCTTCAGGGCCAAGGACAATGTTTTATTCACATCTGTATCTTCCTTAGCACTAACACTGTCCGTGGCCCATGGTGAACAATCAACACCTGAAAAATAAGTTTTAGAACAGGTCCTGTAGGGCGCCTGGGGGGCTCAGATGGTTAAGCATCTGCCTTCGGCTCAGGTCATGATCCCAGGGTCCTGGGATCGAGTCCCGCATCAGGCTCCCTGCTCCTTGGGAGCTGCTTCTCCCTCTGCCTCTCTCTCTCTCTCTCTCTGTCTCTCATGAATAAATAAATAAAATCTTTAAAAAATAAAAATAAAATTAAAAAAATAAAAATCATAATGCTGGGACACCTGGGGGGCT